AAAAACAACATTGAAACATGTCCTGAATGCCTTTTTTCTTCTAATATAATATGACGCTATTATTTTTATTTTTCCAAATGACTGAGATGAAAAAAAAAAACAAGTCGACACTTACCCGCTCTTGAGATTCTTTTAATCCATTCTGCGGATACTTGGTGATGGAAATTTGTGAAACAGAAATCATTCGCCCTTTTTGTTGTGCGAGGTACACAGCGGCACGCAACAGTGCACCAATTACCCGCAGTTCGAGTCGACACTTAAATTTTCGTATCGTAACACACAGATTCCAGCGGCGTAGCCACGTCGCTTCGGTGTTTCCCAAGGCGTCCCGGACTGGATCCGGGAGGGAAGGTAGGGGGGCTCCGAGCGCCACCACGAGCGTTCGTGAGGAATGCGCGTACTACTGAGCCGGCGCTGAGCCTCCGTTCAGTAGACAGGTCTCCCCGTTATTTAAGTTGGTCCTGAGTTAGACGCACACGTATGCATGTACTCCGTTTCAGCCTTGGACCACAGCGGACGCTACGGGCCATTCCAACCAATCACGCGCCGCGAAACGCATCACGTGACCAGGCGCGTCGTTGCGCTTCCTTTCGAAGGTCACGTGACAACGCTCGCGCTCCACTGGACTGGCTTCGATGGCTCTCGCGTAGCGTGCGGTCCAGCCGAACACGACACGGGGAGTATAATACTTGGCTGTCTGCTTTCCATCGCTTTCGTCCCCGGGGGCAATTAAGGTGTCTGCGAGCCGACGGGTCGGCCGGAACCTGACCTTAATCGAGAATGCACAAGTGTGCCCGGACGAGGTCGACTTATTATCGGATTGTAGGGCCCCAATGTCCCCGCTCTTGATAGCATCAAACGCTTGTTTTGCTTTCCTCTTTCCTTCCTTCCTGATGGGACCAATGATACAGCGTCAGAGGTGCACCACCTGGGTGCTCCTCTTGTTTCTGTACGTGTTCTATGAGCGCTGAACCGATCACGAACAGAAAAGGCCTATGCGGAGAGCAGGACGTCTGCTTCCTGCACAGGACCAACGCTTTTAGATTAGCTCAGTTACGGAAGTGCTCATAGACATTCACGAGCAGCGCCCCGTTATTGGAGATAACGTCACTGTTCGCTAAAACGTCATTCGCTCAAGTCATATGGACCCCAGTGTTTGCTTATGCACAGGTCATGGTCGTTTACTAGCGTGTGTCAGTATCTGTCTCCCCGCGATAACAGAGCGCATAAAAGAACCAACAAAATATTTCAAATAACAACAGAAATTCGCAGCTCACACTTTCGCGCTTTGAGTGTCTTATCGCAACGATAAGAATGCTTTTCATGCTGTTATTTTGTTACTGATATTGTTTTGGAAGATATATAGGGTGTTTTCACTGACGTAATTTCGTCCACCATTTTGTTGTTGCGAGCTGTCTGGCGTGTGCCACACTCGAGCATTCCAAGGATTTACATGCCCCCTCAAATGCGTACAGCACCGCTGACATCATCTCAACCGGTTACGATGTAATCCTTCAATGTAGTAAATTTGTTTGAAAAAACAAACTAACAACAAAATGGCGAATTGACGTCATGTGTAAACAACCTATAGACCTTTGCATCGCTTATCAGAAGGGCGAAAACTGCCGAGCCACTGAGCTGTGGACGCATGCGCTGCGTCTGATATGCCGCACAAGAGAGCAACAGCGCATGCTCAGAAGGCGTTCCGGAGCCCGGCAGACAAAGGTGGCAGCGCGCAGACGGCGACTTTTGCAACCAATGAAATTCTGCCACTTTGACGCCCGCGAGCGAGGTGGGAGAGGGTAAGGACGCACAACCGAAACGCGACCGAAAAATGTTAGATTGTGCTCGCCAGAGGTGTTGCTCAAACTTGAGAGCTAAAGGCCTATGGAGGGGAGACATTGATTCGTTTCCCCTCCACTTTCATATCTCCCGAGCACTTTCGACGACAGGACAAAAGGGAGGCATGTCACCGAGACCAAAAACCAAACCACAGCGTGTTTGATAAGAGGGAACGGTGATAAGCATTTACAAAGATAGCGGAGGAAGCTATTATGTCCCTCTTTGTTCAACGCTGCGAGGCGACGGCCTGCTTGCGTAACTCCAAGCGTTGTTTTAACCTTTTTTTTTTGTTTGCCCCATGATTCAACAATATGCTGATATCGGTGGAGTTGCGTCGTGCTCCACGTTTTGAATAACTTCCGTGTTTGCCGTTGCAGGCACGTTTTGTTGTCGATATTTATTTTTTGTGTTGCCCGCGCTGGCAGGCGTGACTGGAGAAAGGGTTGGGGGGGGGGGGGGGGGGGGGGCGGCTTTTAGAGATAAGAGTATCTATCTGCTTTGAAAGGGGATCGACTATTGTTAGGTTGTTGTCTAGACAGCGGCTGTTATCAAATCTGGGGCGCTGGACAGGCTGGCCACTACGTGTTTGCAATAACAAGGGTGGCTGTGACTAATGCTTATAATTCCTGATTTCAGGTGTTTTTTTTTTATTTTATATTAGAGCACAGCTGTAGGCGCCCGTGTGCACCTTGAGCGACGTCGCCGTCGGCGTAACCGCGCGTTGCATTATGGCACGGTTCCCATAGTGACGTTACGTGTGACGTCACCCTTGTGATGCCACACGGCACCTAAATATAGTGGGAATAATTAGCGGAAATTTAACAGGAATAAGTAGCGCTAAATTTAACGGAAAAAACATTCTTCGCTAAATCTAGCGAAAAAAATCCCCCGCCAAATTTAGCAGAAAAAATTCCCCGCTAAACTTGGTGGAAATTTTCCCCTGCTAAATTTAGCAAAAAACACTTCCCCGCTGCAGAAAATATATTAGCTGAACATACCCTTCCTTCCTCCTTCTCAAGAGCTGCACTCTAATTTGGCATTACAGAGAATAGTAAATGTCTCATTTTTTGGATGTGATTTTTGGGTATTATACCGGGTGATTCAAGGAGATGGCAGGCTCTTTAAATCGACCGGAAAATTTGGTTTCTTAACCTATCGCGCTATGACTTTGTGCAGCATTGCCCACAGATGGTGCATTTTTTTTTGTAAAATTTGCAAAGAGCGAACTTACCTGAGAAAAAAGTAAAGAAAGAAAAAGGCTTAACTCCTATGGAAACGCAGCGACGCCACCGGTCTGCAAACAACACGGCACTATTTTGCACGGGACACAAGAGATGGCGCTACAAACGCCGCCAACAAACGAGCATAGGACGCCGAGAGCCAGCGTCTTTAGCAGACAATCTTTTCGACCCAAAAGCGGCGCGCGTTCGGCAGGCGGTGACAGTCGCAGAAACAAAAACAGACAAGGAACTGCAGTTCCTTCTCTGCTAAATACGCCGGCTCTCGGCGTCGTCTGCTCGTTCGTTGGCGGCAGTTGGCGTCGCGACCGCTTGCGCCATCTCTTGTCTCCGGTGCGAAACGGTGCCGTGTTGTTTGCAGACCGGTGGCGTCGCTGCGTTTCCATAGGAGCTAAGCCTTTTTCTTTCTTTACTTTTTCCTCAGGTAAGTTTGCTCTTTGAAAATTTTACAAAAAAAATGCACCATTTGTGGGCAACGCTGCACAAAGTCGTAGCGCGATAGGTTAAGAAACCAAATTTTTCGGTCGATTTAAAAAGCCTGCCGTCTCCTTAAATCACCCGTATAATGTTACTAAGCTGATGCTGGCGTTTTGTGGGCATCTATTTTGCTGCATGTAGTGATCAATCATTTATTGGTACGTTCTGGTAATGTTTTTAGCTCTAGAGATTTGTTTGGGGCACTACAGTACGTTATGAATGCTGTTGGTTTTTTTGTTGTGACCAAAATAAATTCAGTGAACTTTGCCCTTTAGGGTTACAACTTGAAGGGGTGCAATGTTTGGAAACTTGGTTTTGTTGCTCATGTTTTTATGTCACTTTTGAACTAGACTTGTTTATATCCTATCATATTTTTTTCTCCCCTTTATGATGTCTCTGGTGTGTGGTCAACCCTAGGCCTAAGCGGTAGCCCTAAGGCATTGTTTGGGTGAGCCCCCGGGGAGAGAAACGATCAGGCAGAACCGGCCGTGGCAGAAGGAAAAGCTTAGACGAAAAACACCCGTGGCATGGTGGCGCTGCAGGCTGCAGTGCACGTGTGTAGAAAGCGTGCAGGCACTGACGCGACATTTGGGATCTGAGGGAGTTGGCATAAATAAATAAATACATAAAAAATGTCGCTGTGCATAGGTTTTCGTTGAAGTCCCCAGTCTAGCAGTTGTATTGCACGTGCTAAATCCCTCATCCACTGCAAAGACACCAGATGGCATATGCCCATTATGGCTAACTAATTTCCTGCTGTCTAGACATACCGTAAAATAGCCCACTTAACCCCAAGAGCAGATCGGGTGAAAATATGGAGTGGGCTAACTTTTGGTGTATAACAATCAAGAAAAGTTTAAAAATTGCTATTTTTAGGTTGTGTCTCTTTCAAGCTTGTTATGGTAGCGAGGGGCAATGAAGCAGAGATGACTGCTTCCCAGTCAGCAGCATTCGCTTATATCTTGCTATAGCTAATTAGCCACATTTACGCCGAAGCTGTCATTGATCCCTACATTACTATTACTAGGAGTGGGCTATCTTTTGGTGTTTAAAAAGTATAGCAAATCAAGCAAAAAACACGTGTGGGCTTTTCAGGGGCAGGGCATCTCTCGGGATTTTATGGTACACACAACACAGTTAAAACTTGCGGCTGCTTACAACCTGAGAGGCTTAAAACCGGTTTGTATGCCCCTTGTGGTGTGGTGACCCCGCAGCCAGTCGTAAGCAGTCACAAGAGGCCTGCAACCCAGTTTTCAGCTTCTCGGGTCGTGAGTAGTTGCATGTGTGTGGAGCAGCCACTAGCTACTTTGTGTACCTTTCCTCTTTAAGTGTCTGCACATATGCAGTGTCTAGAGTTATCATGTGCCAATGCTGTTCTTTATCGACAAGAAGTTGGTTTGTGGAAGCCGATGACTTACGTGTGGTCTGCTTCATCCTCCGCAGGGCGGACAAGAGCGAGGTCCTGACGGAGGACCTTGTGGTGGCCGAGAAGCGGGTCGACTCCATCAAGCAGACGTGTTCGAGCGCGCACAAGAGGATCCTCTCCTGCCTCCACAATGTCTCCCTCGAGGACGCCAGCACTGAGAAGCTACAGGTTAGGAAAAGGGCCTCTCTTTTCTTTTTCCTCCATTATGCTCCATCCTTGTACTAAAGAGACAACGCCATTTCTTTTTTTTTACACTTGGCAAGGTGGTGTTTTAAATAAAAACTTCACATTCGTAATGCTAGGAACAGAAATCAGTTTTCGGTTGTGCGTGCCAATGGTCGTAGACCTACTCTGGTCATAGGTGGCCTTCGTCCTTCCATCCTGAGCATTGTTTAAAGTGATTGGAACAAGTTGCCACCCAAAATTGTTTCTGCTCCTCCCACCTTTCTTCTTTTTTTTGTTATAATGCTACCAGATTTTTTTTTTTTTTTCAAATAACGACTGTGCTATTAATGTTTCTTGTCTTTCTTATTATTCCTGTCACTGCCCTTACAAAGTGCTGTCTTACCATTTTTACCTTTATATTACTTATTTTGTTTTGTTATAATCTACTATATGTTATCAATTTCACTGCATTGCCTAATGCTCCATATTTATGTATTTTTTACAATGTGTAGCCCCTACAATAATGTTTCAAAAGGGCATAAAATAAATTAACAATTAATAAAAAATAAAGCAGTGTAATTCCACTAATGAATACCCAAACTTTGTAGAACCTTTTATATTCTTTAGTACCTCGGACCTGGAACATGTCTTCCCACGAGAGACGCTATGCTAGCATTTTGGGAGCACTGTCATCACAGCAATAAGTAGAAAGCTGTGATGGTTCTTGTTATGTATGTTTCCTAGCTATTGCAGCCTACCTTTATTTTTGGAGTGGCAGCATCATGTCATTTTAATCTCCTAAAAATTGGTCTCATTGTCACCTCGTGAATAAAAATTAATCTTGTTAACGTCAAATGTCCCGTAATTATGATCACAAAACCTGCTGGCATTAAAGTTTCTGTCCCGCTCACATTTGCTTAAACTGATTAGCAGGACATGTTGTTTGTTCACCAAATATGTTATTGTTGGAGTATGGACAAGGCTGTTCACACGGAGTACAGAGCCAGAACAGAAACCTTTTTTTGGAAGGAACTGCTTGCAGAATAAGGCATGGGCGGGAGCTCTGTTTCTCCCTCCCAACTCTGCCTTCCTTGATAAAAGATAGTTGTCTCAGATAACAGTGCTGAAATTTGTTTGTCCACTGTTTTTGTCTTGAACAGAAAAAGGTTCCGGAACTCGCCATGTTTCACAGCTTGCAGGAGTGTCACAGGAACATTGGGAACAGCACACTCCTTGGGTTTGTACTTAACCTTTTGCTTTTGTCGTACACATTATCTTGAATAACCACTTTGGAGTTTTGTACACTTTGAAGTAATGATCTGCTAAAATCTCGACTGAAGTGCCTGCAATTTGACGGAGGTTTCCTTTTTCCGGTGTGAGTATGTGCGATTGAGATTTCGGTTACATGTCAGAACCCCAAGTGACTTAAAGGGATATTGAACCGAAATTTGGATTTTGCAAAGTAAGGCTGCAGAAGTGTTGAACGGGACGCTAGGAACTTCAATACATCACTCGTACATCGATATCTCAAACGGATGGCCGTACTTTTGGAAAAGAAGGGCGCGATCAAGCGAGTTCTTCGACATAACTGTCCTCTGGGAGAATTTGAGAATGACGATAAGCGGCCTCCCTTCTCTCCTCCTCGTTTCGGTTCACCAGCTGGACGGGACGTAGCGAGGAGGAGAGAGAATGGGAATTATGACGTGCCTTGTCTCGTCGGCCGGGTTCAATCGCGCACTTCTTTTCCAAAAAATTTGGCGATCTGTTAGATATATCGCCGTATGAGTGATATTTTTTGGTTTTGCAGCTTCCCGCCTATCCGCCTGGCCTTGTTTAGTGAGCTCGAAATTTCGGTTCAGTATCCCTTTAAACAAATTCTTGAATGCTTGCAGTGATCTCCTAGGTGTACCCTCCAATGTTTCGGAACGTAAACCTTCAAAATATTGTTATTTTGAATGTGCCCATCTGCAGAATGTGTGCGGTGTTGCGAAGAATGTGGTTAAACTTTGTAAGAAGCTCTGGAATCTGGGGTCAGGGAATTGAATTCGAAAACTTGGATGACGCTTAAGCTTCGCCTTTAAGAGTGATACGCGATAGTGTTATCGGGCTCCGTTTGCATCGCCTTTTCATTCACTGTGCAAGCGTGCCTTGCCTAGTCAGTAGCTTGTCTGGCTCGCAAACGAAAGGTCATGGGTTCGAATCTCATCTAAAATTCTTCAGATTTTTCTTTTAGGCATATCAATAACTTCATAAAGTGAAATCATTTTAAACATGCAGCAACCTTTAATTTACATTACATGTCATGTTTTTTAATCACTTTCATTCCACACGTGACGTCACGTTTCACGTGAGCGTTGTGGGTCATTTGAAATTATCACGCGAGGTCATGTGGCTGCGACGTCATGACCCTATCGACCGATCAGGATTTTCCCGTCTTGCCGGCATCGGCTTTTCTGCGACACAAGCTTCTTCACGCTATCACGTTAAAATGGGAAGTAAGAAATATAAGAATGAAATATCCTCAAAACCCTGGCCCTCACACATTTTTAGAAGTGTTTGGGCCTTTTCCAGGAAGTTTTAAGGCATTTAATGTAGTTTATATCAGTCATCTTGAGCCATTTTTTTTTTCCTTCGAATTCTTTTTGAGTTTTGCTGCTACAAAGCAAGGTTGGTAGCCAATCAGTCGAAAGAAACGAGAGGAGTTTTGAGCCGACGCATTTCCCGGTGTAACCAGCAGGACGAGCAGAAACTTGGTTTACCGAGCATTGTCGCTTCTTGCGAGGGCATGCGTCGCTGTCGCTCAACATCGTCAGTGGCCAGTCTCGTGGTATCAACGCTGCGATGATGGTAGGGAGTGAAAGCGTCCTCCTAGGCTACAATTACAGAACATTGCTCTTAGAACTGCTCGGTCCTTCAGGCTCTATTTCGGCGCTTTGCACACTGGAAGGTTTTGTTTGGATTTCCTTTTCTCTGCTTGCAGGTCGGTTTTGTGCGAGTGTGCCAACCTTCAGGGCAAGCTCGGTCAGGAGCTGCTCAACTACGAGCGGGAAACGGACAAGCAGATCCTGCAGCCGACGAACCTCCTGCTCGAAGTGAGTCCGTTGCGTTTGGTCCCAAAAAACTGATGGGTGCCTACACTTGGCATCAACTATTTTGCGCCACGCCGTCACGGTTGGCGTAGCTTGCAAGGTGCTGGAACTGTCCGCACTGTGGCGAGAGCACATTGCCTCCTCGTCTTGCGTCTCATTCGCATGCTCTCGCGCAACGAGGTTTGACAGAGTTGGAGCGCCGCACAAGCTACGGTAGCCTCGACAACACAGCCCGAAATAGTTGACACCGAGTACTGGACCCAACTATGGGCGGTGCAGTGCGTGTGTGTCAGGTCTTTTTTTATTTTATTTTTATCGAACGAGGGGTTGAGCCATTCGTTGCTCTTTATGTACCCGAGCAATGTATTCCCATTGTTATAGTTTTCGTGCACGCACATCGATAAAAGAAATCAAACTTACCGGCAAAAACATACGAGTCGTTTGCACAGAGTTTGGCTTGCTGGTTTCCGGCTGGAATTTGGGAGTTGTGTTGTTTTGGCCTCTGGAGCCAGTTCGCTGTATATTCTGCCTGCCCCAGCATTGTGAGGGTGGCGGTAGGGTCGTATTTCTTGAACCGGCGCTTTGCCGACTTGTTCTGAAGCGAGCTTACCTCTGGCCTTCTCCTCTCGAGCCCATTCATCAACTTCCTCTTTCTTCACTTTGCTCCTCCTTGACCGTTCAAGTTTTCCCTCCTCTAGTTTGTTGCCTCTGTAGCCAGATCATAACAGTGTGCCGCACTCTGCTATGTGCATCCTTGCATTTACTTAGTTAGTGCTGGGCGTTAATTTTGTTTCGAGTTTGGGCGTTTCACTTGAGCTTTGACACGCCTTTCTTTCCAGACGGACTTGCCGAACATCTCCAAGCTGCGGAGGCAGTTGTCGAAGCTCACGCTGGACATGGACGCCGCCAAGAACAGGTTGGTGACCTCCAGCACGAAATTGCAACTGCCAGAAAATATCTGCAATGTATCTCGTAGAAGACTGAATGCGGGGATTACCAGCCATCTAGTCTGTCTTCAGATCTCTGCTGCTTTGACAAAGAATGCAGAGTGGACAGATTTGTTGAAGGAACGCTGAATTCTGAAATGGTTGTGTAGTGGCGAGGCGCGAATCCCGACAGAGTGGGGCTCGGGTGCAAGTGGCCGGGGCGGCCGAGATCGAGGAAGCCCACCAGCCAAATGTACCGGTCGAAAAAAAGCTCCCCCCCCCCATTCATTCTGCCCGACGTTTATAAATACAATCGCCACCCAAAGGGGGCGCCATCATTTAGACAGAACTCGGTCGCCACACTAGCACCCTCTACAAACGCCCGAACAAATATTTTTGAAATCCGTGGACTTCACATCGCAAAATAAAGTTTCCCTGGAAAAATATCAGAATGAAATATTTGGCGCAATAGTCATGTCGTGCAACTTGTTTGAGCAATTCCAAACAATGCTTCTGTTTCAGGATCGACCCCTCGGAATAGAAGCATGTCTTGCAGTCGCTCCTAACTCAGGATGTTTTTCACAACAAAAATATTGCTGTAATTTGTTTCACTTTTTTTTTTTATGGTAAAATGGGGCATACGAGGTAAACTAAAAAGGCTTAATGAGAATGTTCTTTTTTTTGGGGGTGGAGAGGGGGGGGAGGAGAGGACTTAGCACCCCTTTAATAAACTCAAGAACATGAAATAAACTTTAGTGAACACATCTGCCGTCGCCCACTTAGGTACCACACGGCCCTAAAGCACGCCCAGCAGAGCGGCGGGAACACGACGACCAACAACTCTGGCGGCGGTGCGAGCTCCACCTCGGGCAGCTCCCCCTCCGGGGCCGGAACAGCGGTCACCTCCAAGACGGAGGGTCTCCGGGAAGAGGCCGAAGACGCGACCAGCAAGGTGCGTCGTCGTCGTTTTTCCTTTCCCCCGTTCCACTACAGTGCCTGGAACGCATTCACGACTGGAGCGTCTAGCGTCCCATGCAGCCCGTGTGTCAAAAGCTGTCCAGAGGTGGCAAAGGCGGTGTCACACGGACGTTGCGATCTCGGTGGTTGGCTGCAGACAATGTCATGACGGACGACTGAAAAGTATGAGCAAATCCAAACGTCGCCGTCGTCGCGTCGTCCAGACTCTCGGCTGGCGAAGTTACCGTGGAGCCGGAGAGCAACCTGTGGCGGGACGCCAGAATTGTGGTGCGAAATAGGTCTGCACTTCCACGACGTCGTCGGGGCAGGAATCGAGAGACAACTCGCTTTTGAGGACCCCGTAGACGCACCGGTCTCGGATGCGTTTCAGGCATTACGCTGTGATGTCTCGTTACGATGGACAGAAACGCACATATTTTCCCAGTATGTTCCCGAAAACGGTGTCCGTATGGTGTGGCATCCATATTTACGGGGTCCGTAGTAACGGGGCATGACTAGTTGTACGAGTTTTGGAGTGTATTAACAAGGCATGGCTAGTTGTACGGGTTTTGGGGGCCTGTCGTTGTGTTTAACTTGCGGCATACCGTCGTGGACGTCCCTTCTTTCCTTTGGCTTCCCGTCAGGTGGAGCAGTGTCGGGATGCCCTAGCAGCGGAGATGTTCAGTCTGATAGGGCGGGAGCCCGAGTTTGCCCACCTTCTGGTGCAATGGTACCAGCTGCAGGGGGACCACCACCGGAGGGCACTGGCCGAGATCGACGCCACCCTGCCTGCGCTCTGGCGCCTCATTGGTAAGCGTCTTTCGACTTTCTTTGCCCTGCCGGGAACTGGAAGGAATCGACGCCTTGATTGTACGGTTTTGTTTTGAGATTCCTCGACGATGTCACTTGTCTTTGCGCACAGTCTTTTATGAGCCGGTTGTTCCTTAAAGGCCGGTGACCAGACTTGAGATTCTGCATGGCAGAAGATCCTCCTCACCATGGGGGAGGAGGAAACAGGCAACGGTGGACAGGGCAGAAAGGGGCGGAGGAGGAAGCGAGGAAATAGTGGAAAGCGCGAACGGGTCGTCGGCCTTTAAGGGGAAACACTGGCTTAAAAGTTATTTTTTTTAATTACTCGTATGATTGGAATGATGTTTGCAGTGATATTGAGGATCAGATGAGGGAGTAGGGTAGTGTGCTAACTTTGACCTATCCAGGAACATATTTTTAGAAGCTAGACATTTGTGTATGAAGCTGCTGCACTCTTCCCTAAGGAATTTATAGTATACAAATTAAGCCAATAAACCACAATTTTATTGCTCAAATACAATGTAGAGAGTGTAGGACATCAGGCTATATAGTTCATATTAAGAAAATGTAAATATTTAGAAAAGTGGAACTACCCCCATAAATGAGGAGCATTTTCTTTGTATATCGATTCGTCAATACATCACTTTTTCTTCACTGTGAGTTTAACTTAATGCCGAACAAAGTGGACAGCCCCATTTGCCACTAAATTTTAGTTCCTAAACATCTGGAACAAAGCATAGGAATACTTTTACCATTGAGCAAAAGATTCCCTCTTGCAAAGTTTGTTGCAAAAAACTGAAACTGAGAAATATGAACTTAAAGAGAGAGACCCCATACTTTATTAATTCCTCAGAATCTGCATCTTCTAAAATGCCCCAGGAGACTCCCTCTAGTCTCTTTAGGATTTCCTGCAGCGTCCTCTTTTTGTGGGCCACTTGGAAGACTATTCCATGTGCCTTCTGCTATGTTGCTATAGTGGCTATGCATTTTCTGCTTTGCTTTTGAGACTTGGATTGCACATATTTGTCAAAGTGCTGCCATCTCGAATAGATACCCCTCAAAGCCCTTTAAAGTGCAGTAAAATGCTTTTTGCAAAAAAAGCTTTTTTTGGTGTTATATTGTGTAATGGGTGCCAGTTAACATCCATATCTAGCATACCTCGGCCAACCTCACTCATGAGGGCCCTCAGTCACCCTCGCTCACCCACATCTTCACACGTGAGGTGAGGGTGAGTGAGTTTCTGACCCAGGAAAATTCTTCAGTGTGAGGGTGAGTGAAGGTCGTGAGAGCTGTGTGAGGGCTGTGAGGCCGGTGAGTGCATGAGGGCCATGAGTGCGTGAGGGCCGTGAGGTTCAGTGAGGGTGAGTTAAGAGCTGAGGGGGAGTGTGATTATGAGGGCGAATGAGGGGCTGAAGGTGAGTGTGACTGTGTGTTGAGGATGAGTGAGGGGCTGAAGGTGAGTAGCTGTGAGGGTGAGTGAGGGGCTGAAGGTGAGTAGCTGTGAGGGTGAGTGAGGGGCTGGGGGTGAGTAGCTGTGAGCGTGAGTGAGGGGCTTAGGTGAGTGTGGCTGTGAGGATGAGGGTGAGAGAGGGCAACCTAAAATGCCGACCTCCGATATTTAATTCCAAATTACAATATTGCCTACTGATCTCGCGGCAGTAAAAATCATGCAAACTCTTTTTCTCTCGCATTCTATTTTTTTTTTTTTCGGAACAATGAAGATTACGATAGTTATCATCATTCCTAGTTTTGAGCATGTCTGCATTGCATTTTAACAAAGATGCAAAATGTTAATGGTGCAAAAGGCGTAATACTGAAATTTCGCTTTGAAACCAGTAAACTATATTTTTTCTCACTTTTCGCCGTACCCAGGGGGGTGTCAGCCCGACTCTGTCGGATGGATAAATGGATTTATGGATATCGATCGTATTCTTTATAACGGGCGGTAGCTTACGCCACATAGCCGCGGCGGGTCGTCGCGGTTCGTCCTTATCGCACTCCACTAGTTGGCGTCGTGCGTCGTAATGTCGACGAGTGCACACGCCCGATTGCATTGGCAGTATAGCCCAGCGGGTGTCGGCATAGTGGCGCTCACGACATAAAAGCAAACCGCGCACCCCGCACACTGACGACGGTGGCTTTCCCAGGAGCCTTGGCACAAGGGCCCCATTTGGGAATCTGGATGTCGGGGCGAGTCGTAGTGTGCGAGACGCTCATTTCTGCGATCTGAACCTGCTGTTCTTGCCGTGTGTCGTGCGCTGTTATCGTTTTTCTGTGTTGGTGTGCATATTTAACGTTTGTGCGGGCGACTGGGCGAGTGTGTGCGTAAACGTGGGCTGCTCCGAGGATGCGCTACTCTCGAGAAGCTTGATAGGCCTAATGCTCCGGTCTCGCTTGCACATTGTGCCAGCTGGAAGCTCGACAACGCTCCGAAGGCCATTCTCGATCGAAACAACAAACGCCGCTGAATCTACAGGGAAACATCTGCTATTTAGCTGGCCAGTAATTTTTAACTGGGGCGTCTCACTTTGTAAACGATAGTAGCGGTAGGGCAGTGAATATGGGGGCTGAATTGTGTATTGTTTGTTTGGGCTCTGTAAAGTGTGCTAAAATTTGGTATGTAATACATTGCATAATTTAGACATTGTACGCTATCTTCCATGCTAGTTTCTCAAGTCAGCGTGAAAGGCTAGCTACGATGATAGCACACTGGCCCTCTGTCAGAAAGAGGTCACTGTGGAATATCGAGTGCATTGCTTCCATCAAAGTATCTCGGCGGATTCACCGGAGTCGATTTGACGAGACTCCAGCGAACCTGCCAAGCGGCTAGCTTCGACGGACGTGATGTTGAGATTTTTTGTTTGTCCCCTCGACATTTATGTAGCATTTCGGAGAAAATGAACGCTGGTGTGCACTCGTTATCCCCATCATTTTCTTTTTTTTTTTTTTCGAACTGGTAATCACTGCCCCTAGTCGCTGCTTCAAGGCATGACCACATGCCACAGACGAACCGAACCACACACGCCGATCAGACGATTTGTATCGACCGAGAAATGGAAATAAGCTGCACGAGACGACGCGGTTGCTACGTCGTTTTGCGCCGGCTGGCGTTGCGTTCGCCCACGTTGGAGTATAAACTGCCTTGTCTGCCAAGGGGTTCCTAATTCTAAAGGCGTCGGATTAGGAATGTCCATGACGTTTACGCACAAACACCTGCTGAAACGTAGTTCGACGAAGGCAATGGCAGCTGGACCACTCCGCTGATCCGTCCGCATGCTCGCACCTTTGCCGACCGCTTCACTCGGGAAATTTGCCCTGACAGAGGGCGTGTCCGCGACTTTTAAACATTTTTTTTAACAAGGAAGGAAAGGCTATTTGTGACTGCAAGTTTTAGATTTTTGGGGTGCCCTTGGTGCAAAGGTCTCGTTACCGCCATAAAATGGCGATCTCAGAAACCGCTTCAGTGCTTCTTTAAAGCCCAAGTTGAACTCTAGCACTTAGAGTAGAACGGTCATTTCTACCATTCATTGAGACACGAAGTCTGTCTTCCGACTTTACATTCTTGAAACACACCAGAGCATTGAATGACTCGTTCATATTCTGAGTCTTCATTCTGACACGTCTCTCGAGAAGGTCTTGCCAGGGTAAATGTTTGTACACAGGAACCAACTCCCTTGCAACTCCCCTAGAGCAGGCAGGGCTGTGCGACTGTGGCTTTCCTGTTGCCTCCAGGGATGCGTGGTGGTTGTGATGGCACCATGAATCTTCTCCTTGAAGACAGGCCTGATGCTGGGGCTCTTTATCAGTAGGGCAAGAGTGCAGGAGGCTGCTAAAAACCTCTTTTCTACATCGCCTGATCTTTTGGGGCATTAACCTTCGACGCACTTGCGTAATCATTTGGAAACTTCTTCGTGACTTTATTGGTCACCTTCTTGAGGGTCTCCGATCAAGAGTTCATCCATACATCAATGACAGTTGGCTGATGGCTCACCAAAATAGCCCTGGAATGCAACGCACGTTGCCGTCCTGTCGAAAATATTTTGTATTGACGTAAATGTTCAGTATATGCTTTCGGAAATTTTCTGGAAGGGTGCATTATTAGTTAGTGGAACCTAAAATGTAAAATTCGAAAATTGCACTCTCTTGAAAATAATTTGGACGTTTAGGCCAGTGTCCCCCCTAGAGGGATTTGTTTAGAATGTCATCTAAAAATGGGTGTTGCACGTGATTCTTTTGCAGAATATCTACTGGTGTCTCAAGGACTCAAAAAAGGAAAACTCAATAAAGAATTTTTTTTAAGGTATCTGGGTTATTTTACACCAGACAATCCAGACCGTCACGGATTCAGCCTAAAAAAGTTGTATGTGTAACTGATGATGCAGAAGTCCCTTGCCTTTTTAATACATCGGCACTCTCAATAACACTCGGAAATGTGTCACAAAACCTATTGGATAATTTAGAAGAATATATTGAACTATTAAGAACAGTGTTTATTTTAAAGTATCAATCATCTCAAACCTTTCTGGAAAAAGATTATATACTTGACCCCTTGAGGCCCGTTTTCTGCAAAATTCAAAACGTCATCAAAGACAAAAAAATAAAGTTATAACCGAAATATATTGGGAGCACTACTTTTGCGTCACTAATGACGCATAAAATTTCTTATATCAAATCTGTGAGGGTTGAATTTAGGCCTGGATCATTTGGCGTGGAATGACCCATCCTGTACGCCTCTTGCACCGTGCAACTAAAGCAGCGATATATCTGTGAGACAAAAATGAGCATTTGCTTAAACCGTCCGGGGATGTTGAACATGAACTGTAATCTTAGTATTGTGCATCTGTCACTTACCTAATCAGGACACTTCCTCTACTTTGATACTTTCTCAAGTCACACACTTCCTTAATTTGGCCGCCTCCCTAACTCGAGACACCTCCCACTTTTGAACACTTAACATAACTTGGACATCTCCTCGAGTCAGACTGGCAGCTCTCTACGTTGGATGGACAGCGCAAATATATGAGTTCGAGGAATGCTACATTTTGTTTAGTCACTGTCCAATCGTCTCGTAACTGAAGTCCTTTGGCAGGGTGTGTTTCCTGCGGCGAATGGTAGCTGCTTTCCTGTCTTCACCCCGCCTTCTCCCCTTGTGCAGGCAATTCTCCTCAGAAGCCCGTGTTCGGGTTTTCCCTGGAGGAACACTTGAGGGTGACGGGGCGGCGCATAGCCTTGGTCGTGGAGAAGTGTGCCTGCTGCCTCCTCACCTACGGCATGGACGAGGAGGTGCGTGTGCCCACCCCTGGCCTTGGAAAAATGCTCGAGTTGATCTGAATGGCAGCCTTAGGGCCTTAGCTCGTTTAGGGCTATGTACCTATACCTGGCGTCAGCATTTTAGTGCTATGTTGTCAAGGCCAGCATAGCTTCCACTGTGCTTCGGCCTCACACTTCTTTGCATGGCTCCATCTTGCGTCTTATTCGTAAGCTCTCTCTTGCGAAGGAGACTCTGGATGAAGCCACACTTTTCTGCAGACAACCTTGACAGCATTAAAGCACTGCGGAATACTATGCTATCTTCGACGATGTTGTGCAGAAAATTTGGTGTCGAGTGGAAGTGTAAAATTTGTTTTACTGGAAAACTGAAAGTTGAGTTTCAAGAGAGTGATTCGTGAGATTTCACCTAAACGTCCCATACATGAAGTGGATAAGTGCCTTGTTCAATTGACCGATAGCACAACTCGCTTCTAAACAGTGTGCGATCCCATTATTGCCAACAAAATTCTAGAAATTAAATGCCGTCCCTCAAAACCGAAAAATGTTTCATGTGACAAAGCAATTAAACCTGTTTTGAAGCTTTAGTTTTCACAAAAGCTTGAAAACAGGCAGGAAGAACATTCCACAATTTCATGGCATTAAGTTCTTGTATAGTTTTTGTCAGAGATCATGAGATTAATTTTATGATCGATACCCCTCATTTTATTGCTGAGTTTCCTTGATAAGCGGTTGTCTTTCTTCAGTAGGACAAATATGGATGTATTGGTCAATTGATTGCATGATCCTCCCTTTTTTCTTCAGGGTCTGTTCAGGATAACAGGCAGTGTCTCCAAGGTTAAGAAGCTCAAGGTGATGCACTGTTTTTCTCTCTCTCATTTATTTCCCAACAAAATCTGGTTGTTTAAAAATGTCTACTCTGCTCCCATAAAACCACTGCTCTACTGCTTAGTGTTGCCCCAAACCACTATTATACCGTCATTGCTTGATGGTGCTACAGCTTCCTATTTTCTGCCATCTATTTCAGAGTGCATTCAATGCAGGCATTGTTGACTTGAGCGAATTTGAAAGGGATCCTCATACAATTGCAAGTGAGTTCTAGATCCTTTGCACCTTTTCTTTGTTAATATGCGAGTCGTGTTTTTTTTTTTTTTATCTAATCCATTTGCTTCCATTTATTATTTAGGGGCATTTCGGCAAAATGGTGTATGGGTGCGTTTTTGGGGTGGCTCCATTGCTTTATGTTGGCAACCCTGCTTAGCTGTACACAGACTAGCAAGTTAAGGTTTTTACACTATGGCCCGATCGTTATGTGTTGTTCATATCTATGTGAGCCACCTCTGTTCATTGAGTATATGCCTCTTTGTAGGCTCATTTTCCATGATGAGACCTCATGTGTGGCCAAAGCACCACTGAAGGCAGTGCACTTGCAACTGTGCTTCTGATTTGTTTATCAAACTCTGCAGAAAGGCTATGCTTTATCTGTGTTATTTTATACAAGCTAAGGTCTTATAGAAGTTCATCTGTGAGCACACTAATGTTGAAAGCAGTGTGCGATGGTGAGGTCAGGTACTCAGCCTAAGTTATGTTGAGTTGCTTCATTGCTATTCCTTGGAGCTGATGTACAGTGTACTCAACTGTTAAACATAACGCGGGAGCAATGGCCGGAGAGACTGCGTGCACCATCTACCAGCTCACTCTGAAAGCTTATGCAGCTGCTGTTTTCTGGAGTTACACTCCCAGCTCCGAAACAATCACCGATGCGTGACTCGGTGATAAAAAAAACGCTTTTTGATTTTTTTTTTTTGTTGTTGTTTAAAGAAGGTGGCCTTTATTAGAGAAACTGCAAGATCACCGAGATATGGTAGCCCGGCATGGTAAATGCGTAGATGTGACTAAACAGACTGGAAAAAACAAAAAAAGAAAAAGCAAGTAAAAATTTAAAGCATGGGTGATAAAGAAAGGAACAAGGAGGTCTTGCGATAATTGTAATTATCGGGGAGTGGCGACAATCCCAAGAAGAGCCGGCTTATTCTCTGCCGCATCATTGATTTAATCGCTAGACAGCTCTGGTATCAGTTTCAGCCACCGCTCCCGTGTTATGTTTAACAGTTGAGCACACTGTACTTGCTACTAATACACTTTATTTTAGCAAGATGTGGGACAACTGAAATGGGAAAACTATTATAGGTAATCTGCTGATGCCCTGCTTGACGGGTAGTTTCCTGAAGACTATGTCTGTGCGGAAATTGTATTGTGCTAGATAATTTTCTTTTGCCATTTAGGTATCCTGAAGCAATACCTTCGGGAGCTTCCGGAACCTCTCATGACGTTTTCCCTTTATGAAGACTGGATGAAAGCAGCGAGGTATGTCAATCTGTCATGTTGCCCGAACCTTACCACTTTAACTTCGACTATCTTGGGGTTAGGTTTTTAAAGGATGTTATGAAAAGAATCTATCGTCAACTGGAGGAGCATATACTGGCATTGTTTGGGGATGATATCCCTTAGTGGAATACTAAGAGACATAAGATAGGTGGAAGCCACATACAGGACTTGCTTGTTTCCTTCAACTCATTTCTGTAATCAACTTATTTCTCATAGAAATCTAAGATATTGACTCTTTCTGGGCCATAAAATAAACAAACACATGTATTGTTGGGATGATTATTTCATACAACAAAGGAGGCAGACCTTGTGTTACCCCAAGCTTTACAAGATTGAACCTCCCCAGAGTGGCTGTCAATGTTTCGCTGAGAGACTCGGCTGAAGTTTTTTTTTACCCAAGTTTCCTAAGTCGTTGACCAATAGACTTAGCTCAACCTCATAACTAAACGATTCCCTGTGAGACTTGCCTCGGTCTCTTCACTAGGTTGTTCACTGAGAGAATTTACTTTGTCTCTTAAATAAGCCTTTCTCTAGGAAACTTGTGTAAGTCTCTTAAATAAGTTGTTCATCGAGAGACTTAGCTAAATCTCTTAGTGAAATGTCGATGTCAACTCGGAGGCTTTCTGAAGGTCTCTCTTCAAGTTCTTCCCAGCTTCAAGTGCCATCATGCTTTGTACAAAAAAGCTTTGTTTTTAAATCAGCTTGGCTGGCTCGGTGCATGAGTAAATGCTGTCCTTTTCTTTGCTGATCAGCTAGCGAAGGAACACTCTAAATTTCTTCCTTTGATTCACTTCTCGTGCAGCATTCCCGACCTCAACACGAGGCTGCAGGCTCTGTGGCAGGTGGTGAACAACCTTCCGCAGCCGAACCACGACAACCTCAGGTTTTCTCACGACCATGCTACTTCCGCACATTTTTTAAAGGGCCGCTCATTGCTCGCCCCAGTTGCTTCTCTCCTTTTCTGTTGCCCGAGTGTAAAGGAGCTTCGTTCACTTCTCGCAGGTACGTCGTCAAGTTCCTGGCGCGGCTGGCGACCAACCAGGAGCGCAACAAAATGAGCTCCCAGAACATTGCCATAGTGATTGCCCCCAACCTCGTGTGGGCACGGGAAGAGAACCAGTCCCAGCTGATGGGGTGCGTGGCGGTTTGCACTGTTTTTTTTTGCTCCAGTTGGTTGCACCGAAGGTTTTGCTCCCGTTTGTTGAAGCAACATTTTGCACAAAGGTGTCAGACAAACTTGTTGCACAGATGGATTTGCACCATTTTGTTGAAGCAGCGTTTTTCACCAAATTAATGCACCTATATTTTACACCCAAATGTTGTGCCAGCACCATGTTTATTGCATGGGTGTGCTGCACGAATTTGTTGCACTAAATTACTGCACAATTGTTTTGTGCCAAATTGTTGTGCTAACTTATTTAATAATTGTACAGAAAGCTAGTGCACCAGTGTTTTAGATTAACTTTACAACACATTTGCTCTAACATTTTGTACCAAATTGTTACGCCAATTGTGGCCCTTTCTTGCCACTGAACTCTTTTAGGTAGTAGTTTGTGAACGATCGTTATGTCCAGGATGTCAATTAGTTGTCGTAAGCTTAGGATAGCCTTTCTGACAACTAATTGGTCAGTGTTTGTTTTTGCTAGGTTTTTTATAGCCCCTAATATAGCCTTCAAAATAAGAACGCCAGTCTGTTTGCTCAATTCAGTTACATAGCAAAGGCCAGCATTTTGTAACCATCAGTTTCGGTGGTTCTGAAACAGCTGCAAAATTTTAATACTTTGGCGTACTCGGTGGCTCCAGTTGTTGTGAGATCACTGTTATGTTTTACAAAGTGTCAAGTTACCGTAAGCATTGGACTGAGCTTTTTTGCTAAATGTTTTGTCACAACGTCATTGTCGCATAATTTTGGACTAACTCCCAAAAGTTTTTGCAAGTGTTGCTTTCTGTGTATTAGAACCTTGCGGAAGAGATTTCGGGGTATGAAGAAACCTGTGATGGTGTTGCTCGAAAATTTGATCAATGTGTGGGAATGTTTGTTACACCTACTGCATAAAAACCGGGAAATATGGTAATTTCTGGTAAATTCAACTACTGTTGATCCTGTAGGCCGGGCCAGCAAACATTTGTTGGTTTTTCGTTTAGTATGCATGCCAAAAATACCAAACAAAAAATAAACTTGTTCTCATTTTTTGTTTTTTGTTTATATTTTTACAGAGTAAACATGACTCTTGCCAACATGCACAGCTCAATCGTAGACACGCTGGTGAACTACGCCGACTGGTTCTTCCCCGGAGGTGAGTATAATAACGGACGTCAAGGCCACTAAGCTACGCTACGCCTCAGAGTAACGCCGATTCAGCCATCTTGTCGCCTCAAATCGTCGTTGCCAGTTATCTGGAGCTTCATCTGATGCCGCAGAAAACGCCTTATCTTACTACAGAAGCGTCAAAGCAGTCTGCGACGTCGAAACTTTGCGTCGCCCGAGCTCCCCGTCGTCGTGTTTAACGCTCGAGAAGCTATATTTTCTAACCGTAACCGCTGTAGACAACCCTTCCATTTCTGCAGCCCCGATGTTTTGCGGATCAGGCAGCGGGGTCACGTTTGAGACTGTCGAGTTTCACGAATTTTAAAGGCTGTGAATGCGCCTCTCTAGACAACGCCCAGTGTTTGCAAATTTTCCAAGTCGCGAAATCCTCGAAAATTGGGGGCTCGCAAACATTGGGGGGTTTTACGGTAATACCGGTTGCACATGCTCCACACTAGGCACCGATATGGTGGTTTTCAACATGATAATGAGGGAATGGAGCGCTGACACTAATGTGCGGCTTATTTAAGCTGCAAACACACTGCTACTGCGTCGTACAAAAGACGGGCTGTAGACGCTCTCCGAGGCGTCTTTCTTCCTCGCGTGACAGTCCTGCACCGTCACAAGAACCGTCTGCAGGCACGTTCAAAGAATACAAATGTACGAAGCGAGCACGTTTTAAACGTGCAGACGGTTCGGTCGTCGTGCCTGCAGCGAACGTCGTGCTTCTGTATAATGTATGGGCAATGTGACTGCAGCTTTAGAGGCCCTAGGGGAAACAACGCGAAAGAAACGATCGTCATGGGATGGCCCCGTCTGCTTTTTGTCGGCAGGGGATGTGGCGTCGCGTCGGTGATTGGGGACTCTTGTTTTCAGAGGAGGAATTCACGAGCTCCTCGCCACCGTCCAACGTGCGGACGTTTGGCGACGCGCCGGCGTCCGGCGGACACTTGAACCACGAGGCAACCACCAACGGCGACGTCGACGACCACTCGTCAGGGTAGGGTCACGCCGGATTGTGCTCCGTTCTTCTTGCCGGGGAGAGGACTGAGTCGTCTGCACCCTGTCCTTCCTCTCTCGAGTGACTCTGGCCTTGTGGGGCAGGCATGCTATAGTCGGATGCAACGTAAGAAAGACGGTGCAAGGGGGAAAAGGACGGAAACTGGGAAAGCTGAAGTGGAGAGGGGCGACCTTCTTTCCACGACTGCTTCTCCTCGTGCATGCCCTTTTCCTCCCTGCACTGTTTTTCTTGTGTTGCGTCTGACTATAGAGGGGTTCTTTCTGCTTGAGGGTTACGTCGGTTGTTCGTTAAGGGACACTGAACCTCAAAAAAAATGTTTGTCGAGGTACCTCGAAAAACACAATATAAATATTAACAAGACAAAAAAAAAATGTTTTTAACCCTTTGACAGTCATTTTTGGACATGTGCGGGGCCAATTACACATTTTGAAATAGCCTCCTAAGTGTTAAGGTGCTTGTACCGCCGGGGTCGTTGCTATTTCTTAGGTCTTTGGTTAACTATAAATGTTACATTCTCCTGGTATTTCACTTTGCTGGGGCCATTTATAGTTTGAAATTATACTCTGCACATGTTGTACGCATGAGATGGTTGCTTCTCGTGTCGGCTGCTCTGGCGGTAGTAGATTCAAACTTCTATTTGCTTCTCGGAATGAATTGAGAGGATGAAAGCGTACCAACCAATGGAGAAGCTCTGTAAATCAACTTTAGTGGTTCCATTTGGTGCTCCTAAACCCGAACAGCTCGAAAGCACTGTACGTGCTCCCACTGCAGGGCCGTCGAGATACAGCCGGACTTTTTCCAGACTTTGTCTCTCAACAAGATAGCAGGCTAACCGGCCGTATTCCGCTCCCGTGGCCACGTGATTCGACAGCGGACCATCACACGATAGACGATTTGCGACTTGCTCGAAAAGGAGCAGGGAGTACAACCGGAAGGCAGCAATACTTGAATCGCTTCGTGCCGAAAAGTCGCCTAAGCAAATCATTGCATAGTATAAGACACAAGTTTACAGCATTGCCAAGACATTCAGATAATCCTTCAGCCAGGAATGCATTACGGCAGACCAAGCAGAGCGCAGAAAACGGTACATTCATTCTATTTAGTTTTCTGGATTTATCTCACCGACACTTTAGATAATAAAAAAACCTGTGAATTTATTTTTTCTTTGCACAATATTTTTTTAAAACAAAACCAGACCACTGGGAAGCATTTTTTGGGAAAAAAACTTGACTGTCAAAGGGATAAGCACATTGTTTGCATTGCGAGACTCATTTTGGGTTAGGAGCGATTCTGAAATATTTCGCGACATCAACACCGAAATAGAGACATGTCTTGAAATCGCACGGAAGTGCTAAAAGTTTTATTTTTTGGAAAGGAACGTTTTTATCCTGACATGCATGTCCTATGCAGGCACTTGAAAAAGTTATTTCTGGGCATTCAGTTCCCTTTAAAAGTGTCAGATATGTTGGACTTGTGGGGCAGAAATAGACCAGTGTAGAGGTCAACCCCTAAAAGCTGTTCTGGGCCTGCAGAAAAAAAGGCTGTACTAGGTCTATCGCACCGTCAGTGCAGCTAGCTACATTTAGCCTGTAAAAGGAGTTGCCTTTTACCCCCGCAGGAAGTTAATGGCAATTTACTACAAAGTGGAGTGGAATAGCATCTCTTCCTCTCAAACCTTTGCTAACAAGTGCATGGGCATTTGGAAGGGGTATGCACCAGACTTTCTGTTGCACACAAACCAGCAGTTGTCGCCTCACATGACCGGATTTCGTGCATGTGCAGCGTCCGCATTTGCCACGAGGGATTTTCTGTTTGTTCGAAGCATTGGGTGTTTATAACTAGAATAATCCAGAAAGGAGTGTCTGTTACTGGAAAGTGAATTCTCGTTTGGGTTCTACCTTCTGTATCTATCAGATTGTCCATTAGCAGTAAGGTTTGCATCTGAGTTTATACACTAGGGTAGAGTCGTAGATTTGGTATCTTCCAATGCAGTTTGCGCCACGTAAGTGTTTCCATTTTAATGTCACAAGTTTCTTTTTGTTGTTGAGGATGTAGTCCCCTTACTGTGTTTCGAGAGTTTGTTGGCATGTTGTTAAATGATTGAATGATTTATTGAATGTGTTTTTAAATCATCTTTTGATTCAGTTGTGAATTGTGCCCATTACAGAAGTTGCTTGTTGAAATCTTTGGTTGTGAAAGGCAGTTTTATTTTTTATCTATGCATCATTGTTTTGATGCCAATACCACAAAGTACCAGATCTCAACACTGGTTGAATAAGTTGTGCTATCCAAGGAAGTTCTTTGTTTTTATTCTTTATATGCATGACTACCATAGTTCCTTGTGCACAAATTTAAGTTGAGAAGGACATTTTTTTTTCCTATAAGCTGTGGGTTTTTTTTTGCCATTATTCAATATCATGTTATGTTCAGGGATGTCTAATGTGGGGATGACGAGATGCAATATCCTCCAGTACAGTAACCACTCTGCACAATTTCTAGTTTTATGCCAAGTCTTGCTGTCTTTTTGATGAAATGAAGGGATAGTTACATTTACATTTTGAGCATTAGTAATGTTCAAATACAACTTTGTGGTCATGAAAGGTGCCATATGCTGTATCATGTTATGCATGCGAAAACTACCATACTTATTCAAATTCAGATGAACTTTTTTGAAACCATTCTTTCAAGTATGTGAACCTATTAAGTATGACTTATTAAATATATAGACTGCTAAAGTATGTCGACCTATTAGAGTGAGGAAAATTTGCGAGCCCATCAAGCCAATTCAGCAGCCGTGCCGCGTCAAACACTGCTTCTAGCGCATTGGTGCAAAGCAGTGAAGCTTGGCACACGCACCGGTGTAAAGCAGTGAAGCTCGACGCGCGCGTGTGTGTAAAGCAGAGAAGCTTGACGCGCATTGGTGTAGAGCAGTGAAGCTCGACGTGCACGTCGGTGTGAAGCAGAGAAGCTTGACGCGTGCACCGGTGTAGAGCAGTGAAGCTTAACGCATGCACCAGTGTAAATCAAAGAAGTTGGACGTGTACTGGTGTGAGGCGGCAAAGCTCGACACATGCGCACCACGATCCCGCCGCGCGTGGTGTCGCGGTGCTTGATTTCGAACTCCGAACTCCACACAAAATTAAACTGGCATAAACGGGTGAAACAGGTGGCAGTGTTTAAAATGTAACTGCCATGAAGGCAAATTCGGCGAGCAGGAATTTAATACAGATGTTCCAATGGGTTTTCAAATGGGACCGGTGGCATTGGATGTAACAGCCAGTTAAACATGTCGAGAATCTATCAGATTATAATTGAGGGTTGCACACAAACGTTTTTGATATGAGTGGAAATTTTGGCCTTCATTTACTGCGAGATTGTGTCACGTGATACGGAAATTACCAATAATTACCGGAAATAAAGCGGGCTTTGTTTGATCTGGAAGTGGAACCACATTGAGTTCTTTTGTCTGTCAAGCACCAGTTTCGTGAAGCATCCTGGTTTTCAATATTTTCCGTGCCCAAGTGATCTACCTCTCTGAATGTTGTCCATGGAAAACAAAAATATATATTTTCATTGTTTAGTGAATCATGTTTACACTGGAACATTCAGGGCCACTGTCGAGAACTTTGAGGACAAGAGCATCTGTGCACCTGCCTTGTGCATATTTTACTTTTTTATGTGCCCCCTTTTTATGGAAAGACTAAAAAGAAATAGCTCCTAATCTTTTTTTTTCCCTTCGGAAATTGATGTAAGCCAACGTCGTTATGAACGTCGAGCCCCTGCGACAGCCGTTTAAATTTGTGAAAGTGTTGAGTATGCTAATGTTTTTGCAAATGTTTTAGCCAATGTTTTTACATGAAGTATTCCAATGTTTTTACATTGAGTATGTCAATGCCAACATTCAGTATGTCCGAATTGTCGTCTGGCAGTTCCGACAGAAAGCAGCTACAGTCACTGGGCAGTATTACGACACCAGGGAGGAGCCTCAGTTGTTGCGCTCCGAGCTTCCTCCCTTCAATGATGCTTCAACATCTCCTGAGCCTCGAGCTCGCGTGCGCAGCCAAAGCATGGTAAAAGGCAGCGGGCGTGTGCTGGAGGTCGGGCATCGCCTCATTCTGTCGGTGACTCTACAAAAGTAATTAGTTTGCTTTGAAGAACACGGCTCAAGCCCTGAAAAATCATTTTGGTGCACTTTGTGTGAAAGTCATAGTCTTTCTGCTTGCTTCAGAAGGCGTTCTAGAAGTGTTGGTCGATGCTTCCATGTTAGCCCCGAAAAGAATTCACGTCTTTGCCTTTAGCCTTCGCTGGAATGCAGTGCACAAAGCGCTTGCCGAAGACAGAAGAAAAAGAAGACGGCCGACGTGAATCGCTGTCCGTCGTTTTGTTGGCTGCATCGGCGGTGACTGCACGAGAGAGTGGACTTCGTACATCTGACTTCATTGTTAGTAGCACTCAGTGATGAGGGCCATGGGTGAAGGTCTTCTTTAGTTTCCTTGTACGCTTGCAGGCGCCCTTATTGTCTACTGCACCAAGTTGCATCTGTCTGGCAGAGAATATATTTATCCTCATTCATTACCTGGATGAATGGATGCTAGTGGCTAAGCCCCATACTATATTGGGCAGTAAGTAGCTTGTGCCACCTATCCCTGAGATACAAAGTGTTGCCAGCTTTAATTACCGATGTTACCTGTGAATGGCATTGTAGGTATTTCTCTGTTGCTGCTCGCACTTCTGCATTTTGACTTAAGACGCTGCACACTCAACCCAGGAAAATGCCTTGTGAAAGCATTGCTACTAAGGCCTTTCAAAGGAGGCTTTGTTACACAATCAAAACAGAAAGCTGTGCAAGTTGATGAAGCGAGTATTGCACCCACGAGGCATGCAAAGTTTTGAAATCGCTTGCACTGCTTCTTCTTTGCCACCTCTTGAAGAAAAGAGCAGTTCTGGACTAAATTTCACTTTCACTCTATTTTTACAGTGATGTCATGTAGTGGTAATGAAGAGAAATGAACTAGAACCATCATTATATTTACTTTGATGATGTTGGAGACATTATTTTATAGTCTTCCTGCTGGCAATGTAATGACAAATCTAAATCCTTTTCTAGGGCTTCTATTCTGAAAGTATTATGCTGTTGACAATGAGCGTCAAATTTTTTAAGGCATACAATACTGCAGCAGGCTATGTGCCCTGCTCTAGAAGTGTGCGGTAAAGAAATTATTTGGTTAGTTTGAGCGAATGGAAAAAGAAAGCAAGGACAGTTTATTCTGTCGACTTGTTTACTGAAGTTTACTATGTTAGTCTGAAGACGGTAGAAAAAAAGGATGAGAAGCAAAACTTTTACTTGCTCTCCCAAATTTATTTTTTGGTTCCTGGTGTCCTCATACAAATTAGTTCATAATCATGTATGCACCGACTATACTAGTAACATAATTCAATCGAAAGGCCCAAGCAACCAAATGAAGGGAAGTACTACATTGTTTGTCGTGTATTGCAGCACTTTTGCTTGCTTTTCTGCTCTACTGCTTGCTTCTTTATGCAAATCTTCTATCAATATATTTTCAGAGTTGTTACAGTTAAACCTCAAATTGTGACACATACTCATGTCAAAGTAATGGTAGAAATCGGATGCCCTAGCTGTGGCTGCTATCTACCTAGTAGTATGTTGTTATCCTATGGTGGCACAACCTTGTGTGCACAGAGCATTGGTGGATGAGTGGAGCTTAAAGCTTATTTTTAAGTTCTGCACAGTGGTGCAACTGTGGCCAACTGTATTAGTATCGGAAAGGTATTGTGCATTATGCACCACTTTTGTTTTTGAATGACAGCCAGACGAATAGTGGAAGGCTTTCTTAGACCTTTCTGTTTGAGACCTGGGTAAAATCTGTGAAAACAGATCATGTGAGACATAACAGGCTTGAAGATATTTATATCTGGCAACGTAATTGCACCTTTGAACCTATATACATTCTACAGCTTTCCAAGTTCTTTTTGACTTTGTCGCCTGCACGTTGGAAGCAAAGTGTGGTGCTTGCACATCCCTTTACAATTTAGATTAATGTATCAACTTAAACCTCTACGCTTTCTTCTACTTCCTGCTTGCACGGTCTTTTAGGTGTTAGTCATTAACCAGTCGATGCTTGTAGTGCTTCTTGTTGAGGGGTAGTCCAGATTGGATTTGTAAATGACAATTTTATACGGGTCCTCATCAGCTTCTCACTGTGGTACAGCTAGTACATTTTAAGCAGTATCCTCTGGTTAAGCCTTTATTTGAGTACCCCTTCTCTCAGAAACTCTTGCTTGGTTTTATTATAAGAGGCTGAAGATACCCTGTCTACAGCAAGTTTCGCTGAAGAAGCGTTAAGATATGCAAATTAGCTTCTCAAATTTCAGAATTGTGATTTTAGAGCACTTCTGCGTCAACTGCACAATTTTACGAAATATAAGAAGAAAAAAAAATTGGAGTCGCATTGAGTGATACTTTGTAACTGCATTTTAGTCCTTTCAACTCTGATGGTTGCGGTCCGCTATGCTTGCTCTGTGCTCTAGCCTACCCGCAACATATAGCCCAGAAACTGTTTCGCTTCCCGATCTAACACAGCCGTGCTTTGTCGCCTTAGCCAACGCCACCTAGACTAATCAAAGCCCAATCACTTCTTTCCTTTTCTTCGCGAGACGTCGTAACACAGCGATGGCACAAACTCTGCAATTGGCTGAGGCATGAGCCTCAGCTGAATGCGAATGCTTGCACACGCATTTCATCTGTGCCCGTGCTTGTTTGTCATTAGAGTGGACCGGCCTTCTTAGTCTAGGTGGTGTCGTGAAGAGTCACTTCATAAGCTAAGCTTAGAGTGCCGACGCTGCACTCTCCGACTGCTCTTATGGCTGCCACCCTTTTCTTGCCTAGTGCGATGCGGGTGCGATCAGAGATAGCTCTGACTACGAGTCAAAAATGCGATTCCCCGGATGATATGGCATAAGTAAGCTTGGGCAACATTGCCTTGCATTGTCACAAACCGTTTTAACGTTTCTGGAGGGAAGAAGAGCATTTCCTGGGATTCCATACAAACTGCCGGTGATAAGTTTACGACAGAAGGTGGCTGAAGTGCCACCACTTTGAAGCTTAGCTCATTTAGTGGCTCTTGTGTCGCCGTGCCCGCTGTAGGCTGTAAGCGGGGTCTTTTCCCCCTCCCCTCTGTCCCTTTACCTCCCCCACATGCGCCCCGTTCCACGGGTCCTTTCCAGGCTGTGCACGAGCCCCACGAGCCAGAGTCCCCGTGTCACCCACCGCCCCGGCAAGAAGGCAGCGCCCCCTGCCCCGGCCCCCAGCCTATGCACTCCGAGAGACCGATCCTCGATGGCTTTGCCGCCCTCGGCCGACTTCAAACTCCCCGGCGCTGCGCCCGCGGTCGGCGGGGGCACCCTGGGGAGGCCGCGACCCCAGGTCCGCCAAGGGTCCAAGCCAGAGGTCGCCGAGAAGCCACAGGCCCTCCAGAGAAGGTCTCTCGAAGGCGCGGCCGCGGAAGGGGCAGGCTACTCCACGCAGTCGCTTGAGCGGAGGCCAGGGCGGCCTCCCGTTCCGAGACCCGCCTGCGAGAGGCCATCCGTGCCGCCGCCAGAGAGACCAAAGTCGCAGAACCTGGACGCGGGGCAGCGCGGAGTCCAGGAGACCGCAGCAGATGCAGGATTGCAAAAGAACGAAGCGGTGCCAAAGTCTGACCACCAGGCCGGCGGCGGATCCGTTTCTGGAGGACGTCCGCTGTCCCTGGACCACGAAGAACTCCTGTCCTTTGCCGATGATTCGGACACCGACGAAAAGGATGAAACAGGCGGTGGCGACGGATCCAAGCCAGCGCGGCTCGTGAACGGCGTTAAGGATGGCGACGGAGAGGCGGAGTCGCAGTTGGCGTCTTCGCCGCCGCTTCAGCGGTCGCATCCGCGGAACCAAAGCGCGCGCGACGAGGCGCGGTGGGACTTCCTGACGGGCGGGGAGTTGAAGCCGGCTCCAGAGCGTCCTCCACGTTCTAGTCCGTCTGCCGAGTTGACGGCGGGGTCCATGACTGCATCCATGACCTCCGTAGCGTCGTCAACGACATCCTCGATGGCATCCTCGATGACTTCGCTGACGGCGTCGTCCTTGACGTCTTCTGGGAGGGTGCTGTCCGAAGAAAACTCGCGCGAGGACCTGTCTCTGCGGCGGTCTCCCCCTCCCGACATCAACACGAGCGGGCCGCCGCCGGACCTTATCGCGTCGTCCGAAGTCTCCAAGACAACCATCACGGTTGCGACCAAAGACGTAGAGACTTCGCCGCCACACAAGGTGTCCGGGCTCTCCAGTCCGGTCCATGGGAGTGGGACGCCGGAGGAGACTCGCCTCTGAGGCGGACATTCGTGCGACGGTGGACGTTGAATTGCGAAAATGTTATGTTTACTTGTTTCCCATTTTCTTCGTCACGTCCGACAATGGCGCCATCTGTTAGCAGTGGTTTGGTCGAGACCAAAGTGATGGGCGATCCAGGTCACGCAGGTGACTGGTTACGTTGTGCGAGATCTGCGACAAGTCTTCCCGTCTGCAAACTCGATTTATTATTTTTTTTTTTTTCAGAGATGGCAATTTCGTACTATGGTAGAAGTGCGGTTTGAAAGAAAAAAGAAATCTGTGTTTTGTTAATGGCGTCCGTCTGGTACCGACAGCTACAAATGCTGCTGGCTCTTGTGGCCCCATTGAGGTCATTTTTCTTGGCGTGCTTTTCGTGTGTTTGCTTCGAATTTGAAGCGTGTTTGTTCCTACTTTTGACTTCTTTGTAACCACTAGAGAGAAAGTTAGTCTGTGCACGAGTTGCGTAGGCCTGCCTCGAGCGTTGTTTAGGAGGCGACTTCGCCTCTATCGTACGATGTGTGTGTGGTCTAGTTCATCCCATGCCCTCGATACACAATGCTCAACCTCGGTGCGAACACCCCTCCTGCCAGACAAAGTATTGCTGTTTCGGCTTCGTTTCGTGGAGTTGCGGCCCCAGATCGTTTTTATCTGCGAGGAGCGGCGTGCGCGACAGTTTCGCGGTGCTTCTGTCGCTGTTACTTCTGCACGGTAGTTCTTGAGCCAGTACCACTCTCCGTCGAACCTGGATCAGGGAATCGCGAGCGAGCAAGTTGAAAGAGCGCGAACTTGAGAGGACATGTTTGTAGGGTAGTATGTTGATGTGTGCGTGTCTCTACCATAGACTCTGTGACAAGTCTGTTGGTTCTCTTTTTTTCTTGTACTGTTGCCGTTATGATAAATATTACTGGTGTTACGGAGGGCGACTTTGCTATGGTATGTTGTGCTTGACGCTGAAACCAGCCTACACATAGTTGTAGTCAGGTCTCCCTTGAATATTTGAAGAAATCGGGCAGAGTTTATAAACACCATCTCAACATTGTTTTTTTTTTTTTTTTTCTTTTAAAAGGGAGGGAGGGGTTGTAATTTGGGAACATACTTTTGAGGGTGATTGATGGAATGTGTGTCTCATGCATTGTATCGTTTGCACACAGGCAACTTTTTAAAGAAAGGTCACAATTTTTTTTTTTTTTTCAGTTTTGCGTATTTTGATTGGTTGCCATCTTTCTGCTTTTTTTGTTTTTGGAAGGTAAGGGAGAGAAGGTGTGCTGCACGCAGCTGCTCGATTTTGTGTGTAAATTATATGCTCTTTTCATGTTCCAAAGCAATTGGGAGGTCGATTTCGTGTTCCTGTCTCTTTTCTTCTTTTTTTTTTTTTTTTGTGAGTACTGGAAGTGAACAAATAGCAATAGCAGAAAGGCAATAATTCACTAATTTCGTTTGTTTCACTACTGCTGGTTTTCTTCATCTTGTAATGTGATGACACCAAGAGCTTAAGAAACATATTAACCTCCGTTTTGTACCAGAAAGTGGTGCGATGAAATTTCAGGAATGTGTTTTCTAACGTTTTCAAACGAACCGTTTTTCGTATTCCTCCCGTGTACGTGCGTTGCTCCTGTTGCGAGGGAGAACTTGGAAGATTTAAGTCAAAATCTGTTCTGAGAGATCCAACGATGGCAACAAAACAAATGCTAGTCAAAAGTTTCACTTTCTTATTTTCTTTGAGGCGGGAGGGAAAGGCAGCGACGTGACTGTTAGGCATAATACGACGATGACGTCGCAGCTTCCGGTCGTTGATTGGCCCGGGAAGAGAGCTGTGGAATCATTTTGTAATGCACGTGCGGGCATGGAAGTGACAATGTCTTTGTTAATATTAAAACATTATTTGAAAGTTGTCCCGCGCCTCGTTTTATTATGCTTCCTTAGGGGATCTTCGAGCACTCCCGCAGTGCACGCCGGAGTTGGTGGTGTAAAGCGCGGTCCGAACCAAGCCGCAAAACGGGCCCCAAAAAATAAGGGGCAAAACTTTTTTTTTTTTAATATAACTTTTGCCTTTTGTTTTAGCCTAGGAGCGTACGGGAGTGTATGGACAAGAATCTGGAAGGGCAAGGCAAAGGGAAAAACGCACATGGGAGGAGGAGGAGGAGGAGGAGGAGGAGGAGGAGGAGGAGGAGGAGGAGGAGGGAGGGGAGGGGGAGGAGGGACGGGAGGGGGAGGAGGGAGAAAAGGCACCCTTTGTGGGATTTATTAGTGGCTTCCGAATCCCGGACAAAAGCTCACACATTTTTTCACAGACCCGGACAAAAGCTCACAGGAGAAAATTTTATGTTGGTCTTAACACGTGTGCGGACAACTTAAGTGCATGTGTGCGGCACCAAAGTGCAACGATAAATTAAATTTGACTGGCGGGTGTAGGGAAAAATGGCCCCGGAAAAAAAAGTTCCCGGACAAAATGTCTTCGGAAAAAAAGGCGCCAAGTGGGAAGTAGGAAAAAATGTCGCCAAAAGCTTCTTTATCTCTGGGTTTCCCTGATCCTCATGGCCTTCGGGTGGTCCGGTCATATGTGCTAGGGGGAAAAAAGGCCCCCTCTGGCAAGTAGAAAAAAAAAAACGGCCCCAACGAATGAGGAAATAGACGATTCCCCGTGATGCACATCGCGACTGTTAGCGCGAACACGACATCGGCACATTTTCATATTTTACTTAGAAGGAGTATTAGTGGGAACGAAATTTTACCAAATGAGCACTTTCAGTACCTATGATAACTTTGACGATTACGTTTCGCTTCTATAAACAAAAAACAAAAAAAAATGCGATCGCTCCTTTGTGTTACCAGTGTCGCGCGTTTTACGTATTTGGAAATTGAACACAAGTACCTCTCAAATTTCCCCCAACACAATAATCTGGTCTTGGCTAGAAATCTCATAAATGTTTATGTAAAAAAAAAAAAAAAAAATGAGGTGAGCTTTTGCCCGGATCTGTGAAAAAACGGGTGAACTTTTGTCCGGTGAGCTTATTTTGATAAAATGCGCCGCAAGACGGGGCCAAAGTAGGTAAGACAACACGGGTCTTACCTACTCTCTATCTTGCGGCGCATTTTGTCAAAAGTCACGTACCAACTGGCCCATTGTCATTATTGGTCCGGTGAGCTTTTGTCCGGTTACCGTGGCTTCCATGGGGAGAATACAACAAAAGCGACTCGCTTCTCGGTAACTCAACAAAAGGACTAAGGGAGGATTAGAAAGTTTTAGTAGATTGTTTCGAAGACTCCGATAACGACGGGTGTAGGAAAAAATATCCCCGGAATAAATGTCCCCGGAAAAAATGTCCCCGGAAAAAAAGGCCCCGGAAAAAAAGGCCCCAGATGGCAGTAGGAAAAAATGTCCCCAAAGGATTTTCTATCTCTAGGTTTCCCTGATCCTCATGTGCTTCGGGCGGTCCGGTCATATGTCCTGGGAAAAAAGGCACCGTGTGGCAGGTAGGGGAAAACGGCTCCGAAAGAGGATTAGTGAGAACGAAATTTTACCGTTTGCATTGTATCCCCAAATAGGCACCTTCAATACCTATAATAACTTTGATGACAATTAACCTCTCGTTTCTATAAAAAAATGACCGCATCTGCACGTGGTGAATTATGTTGATTGGGGCGAAGCTCTGGTGGTGCTGATGATACTGATTTTATTGTTCATAGGTAGTGCTGATGGTGCTGATTTTTTTTATTGCTCATAGGTATTGCTGAGTTCCAGGTTGCGTTTCGACATCATTATTACTGCTTTATGGTCGGTGAAATGCAGAGCCAGTGGTTCTTCTAGCGGATCAGCTTGGATCCGCTGGATGTTGTGGGATAGCATCTCCACGTCCATGTCAGAAAGAGAATGTGTGGTATAGAACGTGGTTATATACGCATTTGAGCATTTGACCGCAGCGCCCTCCGCCCTCTCCTCTATAAACGTTGAGCCAATGCATGCAAAGTTTAACGCGATTACATACGCATTTGACCGCAGCGCCCTCTCCTGTATAGACGTTGAGCGGCTACATGCAACGTTTCATCCATGACATCCCCAGCTCTTGAGTTACTACCACATCTCAGAGCCCCTACTTGTCCCGCAGTTAAGGCGATGGACTAGAAATCCATTGGGGTCTCCCGCACAGGTTTGAATCCTGTCGACTGCGCAAACATTTTTTCTTTTTTTAAGACAGATGGGATGGCAATCGATGTGAGCACGGACGCCGGACGGACAAGGCTAGACCCTAAAGAGCTTCGCCCCTTTAAAAAAAAAAAAAAAAAAAAAAAAACGCGATTGCTTGTTTGTTTTAAGTGTCGCGCTTTTTACCTATTTGGAAAAGGGTACACAAGTACCTCTCAAATTTCCCGACACAATAATTTGGTTTTAGCTAGAAGTGTTATGAATGTTTTATTCACAATGAAAAACAAACACAAACAGTTGAGATGCAATGTTGCAAAATCAGGAATGAAATGACAAACTCTTGATTCATACACAAAAGTCAAAAACGGATTGTACTTGAAGTGGAAAAAATGTCCCTTTGGGGACATTTTTTCCTACTTTCCACCTGGGGCCTTTTTTTCCGGGGACATTTTTTCCGGGGACTTTTTTTTTCCGGGGACATTTTTTCCGGGGACGTTTTTTCCGGGGACATTTCTTCCGGAACCCGATAACGACACCCGATATGCTGACGCCGCCTTTGTGTATGCTTCGTATCGTTATCGGGTATCAATAGGGAGTTTTAGCAGGTCGTTTCCACGCGAACGGTTCGTCCTCGAACGCATCGGCGACGCCACTACGCATACGCGCGCGAGTCGTTCGAGGCGTCGAGAGGCTCTTCTCGTTCGTTTCTCCCATTCCGGCCGCTGGAGTCGTCACCGGAACGCAGCCAGCAACCGTTCACGACTCGTGTGAAAAAAAAAGATGGCGGTCGGTGCGGCGACGGACTTCGCCGACCTAGTCGAGCGTTAGGCTTAGGACAGCGGGAGGCGATTTTCCACCCTATTACTCCGCTTCATTCGAGAGTCTGATCCAAATCATTTCGAGGACTGCTCAGAATGGTAAACGATTGTGAATGCTGTAAACTGCGCATGCTAGTAAACATTTGCGATCTGCGGGCAGAGTAGCTGCCGTGGCGACCGCGAGCAGACGAAATGATTTGGTTCGATGGCACACAACGTGAACGATCGTTCAAGTTCAAGATAACGGAGCACACCACATACCTTTACGCTTGTTCAGACACTTTTTACTCTATCTAGCTTCGCAGTTCTTGAAATTCCGACAGGCAAATGTTACGTCGGCCGTCTTGTTTTCATCAGGTGTACGCCGGGAACACGAGCCGCCACGGACTTACACGTTGCAGAATGTTTCACATGTTTACTAGAAGATGGCGCTACCGTTAAGCACTATCATCATCGTTTACACGGTTGCGCCAGTCTCACGATTCGCTAAAATATGTCAAATTTCACGTACGGTTTCACGGAACGGACCAGCTGCAACGTTCGTGATTTCGGAACCGTATGCTCAAAAAACGACTAGCTAAAACTCCCTTTTATTGGGGGTATCGGAACGATATGCTAAGACCCTAATCCTCCCTTTGTCCTTTTGGTGAGTTCCCGAGAAGCGATTATTGCACCCCCGCGCCACCCTGCCTAGGGGCGGATCCAAGAGGAGGGGAGGCGGCCGACCTTCTCTATTACTAAACCCACCCGTGATTCGTTAAGAAAAGTCCCATTTTTTTAAGGACCATTTTAACGTTGGGGTTTTGACTCGGCTTTTTTCGCCTAGGTAGCGAGGATGCTAACGAAGCACTCCGAATAACCTGGAGAATTAATTTTTTTATGCGCCGTTATTTCCATCAGTTGGGTTTGAGCATCAAACATTGTAAAAAAGAAATATTACGTGACGTGAATGCGCAACTTATCAGACAGGCGGCTCACAATCGATACAGAACCAGCAACGTAGAAAGGCGCTCGAAATGCGGAGACAAGGCGCCTACATATTCACTGTGTCCGTCGGCGACCAGAACCTAGTGTTTCCCTGTGTGCAAATGTGAGTATCAATGCCTTATTCGTGTGTGTCAACGAAACGACGCCAAGAACCGAAGGCCTGCATATTCTCCTTCGCAACCAACGAGCAACGGCTTATCGGCAACTCCGGAGAAAGAAGTTCAAGTTACGGAGCTTTACGAAGGTATGTTGGTTTTGGCAGCTTTTTTGTTTTATCTCTGTACAATCAAAATACATTGAAATACGGACAACGGAGCACGTGACTCCGTAGGAAGCCTACACTAGGCTCCCTAGCCTCTGGGTACATGCTGCGCCGCCTGGCGACGGGCCAACGAAGGTTGAGCATGCGCAGTAATGGCGCGTTCACACTGGAAGCGGATCCGCAAACGCGAAGCGGATCCGCGCGTTCTCAACCGCAAAGCGGCCAGGATCGAGCGGTTGGAGCGCGTTTTCGCCAACCGTTTCGGGACCGATTTCTCCGAACCGCTTTCACGAACCGCAAAGCGGCAACCAATCACAACGCGACGCTGACGTGACTTTCTAAACAAGATGGCACCTGTCGTTGGTGAGGCTTCCAAGGCAAGGCGCTGTAGTCCTAACGTTACAGCAGACAAATCAACAGAGACACGTGATGTTCGCGTCCGTCACTTGAATCCGCCGCGAAAAGAATTGACTCGTAATCTTAACGGGCTTCGCATCGGTGATTTTGTTCGGGTAAGAGTTCGCTGCCTCGTTAGTCTCTGCCCGTAGAATGTCGGAACCCGCCAGTGATCGAACTAAACGTTAGCTTTTGTACCCACCAAGATAGTCGCGTAAACTATTGACAGTTTTCGACACCGTGCATGACCGCCACAAAGGCCGATAGAGACGTCGTGAGCCGGATT